GATAGGATTCTTACCAAGCCTGTAGCTAATACCTACATAGCATAGGATCTATAAGCCTCTAAAAGAAATATAAATCACAGACCAAGATGCATAGAATGGGTCTAAAGCATTTTACCATCTGTATTCCACAGAATATGTGAAAGCTGTAGTAAACTGAATCAGTTGCGCAATCGAACTTTGATTTTTCAACATCTTAATTCCCTTTTTGTAGGCTTTCTGGGTAGTACAGTTCATATACATGCAAGCTCCTAGTGTGTGTCTTGGCTATACAATATGGGGAAAGTCTATATTTATAGGTAGTCCCCAGGGTGAGAACACCTGGGTTAAGGACAACCCATAGTTAAGAACAGAACCTATTGCAGCAAAATTTAAGTTAAATACACAATGGTTTGATTTAAATTCACAGTGGCTCAAGTTTATTACACAATACTACTTATACATTATTATACAGTAATACTGTTCCGGCTTACATATAAATTCGGCTTAAGGACAGATATTGGGAATGGCATTTGTTCTTAATCTGGGGACCACCTATACTTAACAACCCTTTCCTCCACAACAGATTGTATTAGTGTTCTCTGTGTGGGCTTTAGAGCAGAATAATTAATTCCATGGCTGTAGGTTAGACTGGGATGTTTTAAAAAAACCCTTAAAAAAAGCATTGGCAAATTACTTTCGTACTGCTGCCAAAATAATTCCATAGCCATGTCTGCAAAATCACTTTGCTTCAGCAGATAGCAGCTGATCTGGCTGACCTCATTTGAACTAACACAGGATGGGTCATTTGGTACTCGGGTGGGTACCAAATGCCAGGGTTGTAGTTTAGTCTTGGAACATGAAAAACATTATGGAAGAAGGAAGGAGCAAACCGTCTCGTTAATTGTTGCCAAAAAACTACATGGACATGTCCATTAAGGCACCTTGAAGCTCAACTCGAAGAAAACTTATCTTTTTATGTGCAAATGGTGGGGGGGAGGCGATGGGATGTGGCTGTTGGCCACAAGCTAAGAGTTACAGGAATTACATGTTCCTTTGTGAGGATGTGTCTGGTTGAACTGTATTACGCAATAAAAAACTTCGGGAAGAAGCACTTTTTGTAAAATATTGCAGGGGAGCAGCTATTGCATTACAACTTTCCCAGGATTTTCGTTCAGTAGAACTTTAAAATACTGTAGAACACTTGAGTGGTTTTTCTTTTTTTATCTGCCTTCAGCCATTTCTAAACAATATTGCTATTCCGATAATAAAACGCGGTAAATATTCTTGCCACAATAAAACTAATGAACTCTCATGAAATAGTGATAAATATTAGTAATCATTTAGTGATGTTCTGCAACTCAGAATGCTAGAGTAGTTAAGCACATCTAGCCCTGTAATTTTGTCTCATGAAAGAGTACCTCATGCTGGGAAATTTAGCTGATTTATTAAATATGGTGTGAGTTGGTTGATCTAATGGCAAATGGAATTTATTTTCAAAATATGATCTTGACAATTAATCTCAACCTGAAGAAAATGCACCCTAACTGTGTTGTGACAAATAGACAAGCAAACATTAAAAATAAATCATTGCCATGTTGGTCTTTAAGAAAAACCCATAATTTGGTTATGTCTTTATTGGGACCAACTAGTGAAGCATTTACTCAGTGGTTGGTCCCAGTGAAGTTTTTACTCAGCGATTGATTTGGAATTTAAATTAAATATTTTATTGGAATGTTTTTGAGATGGGGTTAAAGCAAGCTGTTCTTTTGCCTTTGGATGGGTTTAGTGACATTTATAACCTGATGTTTTTGATAGAAAAAAATATTTGCATCAAGATAAGGCTTTGAAATAGTGACAAATGTTTTTCTCAATGAAGCAATTTCTTAAAAATAAATACATAAATAAAAGTGGTACAGTGGTACTCAGTTCCTGACTCATTCAGTTTTCTTTTGTGGATACTGCTAGAAAATTAGTTACTTGCTACAGGCACAATGACCTTTGGACCCCTAGCTAAATGTTTCTAACAGTTTAACAATCATAGTTTTCTCCAAAGCATTCTAGGATTTGCCAGTTCCTGTAAAACTCCCCCTAATCCTATCACTCTCCCTTTTTCCCTCCTGTCCCGTCCCCCGCTTTATTTCACATTAAAGCCATTACCTCTACAATGGATTCAAGACAAAAGACAAACACTTCTATGTCTTACGGAACCAGAAATATATAGCAAAACGTGAGGCAGCAAAGTATTTACGTAAATAGCCTGTCCTATCCTTGTTCAATTGTAGACAATGATGGAAGTCACATGTATGATTAGCATATGGGTAAAGCAGTTATCTGTTCTTGTATTCATGGGAAATAGGAAAAGGTTAGAGTGACTATCTGTTCAGTGAATAAACTTTCTGGGTTTTTTTTTCCCCCCCTTTTCTAAAACGCATGTGAGAATATCCATTGGAGGAAAACGGGAGAAACCTTAGGGACCTAGAACTGTGACGAGCCTTATTTAATCATATGGCTACAATTCCAGGTCCTTCAGTTTATCACCTTAACTGCTCTGGAATGAACGAGCAATCCTTCCATTCCCATTGTTCCTTCGGTGATGAAGAAGCCCGCCGCTGCACATGCACAGTTCTACTTTCTGGTCAGTTAGGACGGGATGATGTTGACCTCCCGTAGTTTCCTGCATTGAAGGATTCTATTCATATATCTACTATTTAGGCTTCCAGAATATCCCCATGTTGCTTTACAAAGAAGGTGTGATTATTTATTTATTTATTTATTTATTTATTTATCGAATCTGTACAGCTGCCCATCTCATCTGCGTGTGACTCTGGGCAGCGTGCACAACTGAAACATAACTAAACAATCAATATAATTTATTCACTGCACAGTTAAAAACAATTAAAAACCATAATTACAGAAGACAGAAGAATGCAATCAAACCTATACCAGCCATTTAATGGGCTCCACGCATCCATGGGATCCCCAGGCCCGAGGACAAGTTTTGAGGGCCTTCCAGAAGGCCAATGGGGTTGGAGCCAACCTCGCCTCTGGTGATTAATTGAGATAATTGAGCCTGTAGCTCCTCTAATACTCATTCCAAGTTCCAGTGTTAACAATTCCTAAATCTGAGATGTTATTGTACTAGAACTGCTAAATTAGAAAGCCACTGATTTGTGACACTCCTATGCTATCCCAAATATAACTCTTCTTACAGATACTTGTAGAAGATTGCGGACTATAATCTCTAATAAGCAGAGAGGCTTCTACATGTCTTGATTGTCCTCAGGTACAAAAGGAAGCAAATTGTAGGAACTAGTATGCTGCAGTGTGCTGTAGCTCCATTTTCAGAAGTTGTGGCAACTAAAAAAAAGTGTCATCACAAACTAGAAGTATATTTTGAAGAGTCATTCATCCATTGCACTTATCTGTGTGATTTCTTTATCTGACGATGCTTCAGCATTAAAGCTGTTCTGTGAACAAGCCTCTGCCTACCCTCAATTGGCTGTCTTGTCAACGTTGCATTGGTGGCCAGGAGTGCATTTGGAAATATCATATCTGACCATATACCTACGTGTCTTCGTTATTTATTTATTTAATTATTTTTTAGATTTATATCCTAGCATTCTTCTAGGAAATCCAAGTGGCTTATATGGGAATCTCCCTTTCTGCTATTATTAGATTATTGTAATGTACTGTATATGGTGATGCCTCTGGAGGAAACCTGGAAGCTTCACAGAGCTCAGGCTTCTATTGACTGTTGTTCTTCAGGAACATGTGACACCTGCCCTTGGCTTCCCATTGCTTTCAAAATCAAATTCAAGTGCTTGTTTTAGCATATAAATCTCTTTAGGGTTGGGGTCCTGCTTCCTCAAGAAACAACTTCTCGGTTGTGTTATCTCTTGTTGTTAGATTCAGTCACTCACTAAGGACATGCCATGGCTGCTGCCCAGGAAGGAGACCTGGCTAGAATTAACTAGGGCTGGGGCCTTCTCTGTGGTAGCATCACTTTGTGAAATTCTTCATACTTCACCCCTTCTGGCTGATTTATAAAAGAGTCCTGACTTTTATAAGCAAGCTTTCTTTTCTTAATTAACAACTCCTATTTATGATACATATTTTAGATTACTACATTGGATATATGTTTATATATTGGTATTAGTTACTGGTTGAATTGTTTTATAGAACTTTTGTCAAACATTGAACCTACTGATATGAAGGTTGTGTTGTAAACTGCCATAGGCACAAGTTTCTATGGTTAAAGGTAGACGTGAACCTAGTTCCCAGTTCAGCACATTTACTAGTACATCACCCAGGCTCTCCATTCCAACTTTTGAGTAATATCCTATACTTGAGCAGTCTTTGAAGTATGTTTAGAAACTTGAGTTAATCCAGGATGCTGCAGGAAAATTTCTAGGGAGCGTTTGTCTTCCATTTGACAACAGCTTCATGTAGTGTGTTTCTTCAAACCTATGTAGGACTTCAAACTAGGCTATATAAAAGATCACATTCTCCCTTACAAATCTACCCAAGCTTTGAGATCTTCATGAATTGCTCTTCTCTTGATCCACCACCACTGGAAACAGCTTTTTAGTAGCTGCTTCCCAGAAGTGCCAAGAAATGTTGTGCTCTCTCCAATAACAGTGGTTATTGTTCTGTCAGCAAGTATAAACATGTTTATTTCAGCAAGGTTTTGATATGGAAGTTCTAAACCGGTTTGTCTGTCAAGGTGGGTTTTGATGAATTGTTAGATGTTATTTGCTCACTGTCTTACATTTGTTTTTAAGCCATCAGCTCTTTTTTGTATATTTGTTTTTAAAGGTGCTTTAATTGCTTTAATTAGACAAATTTTAGTCTGTATAATCTGTAGGTTTAATGGTGATTTTTGATTTTCTGTTCTTGCTAGCTACTTTGAGCAAAATTATTGATAGAAATAACACCAATAATGATTCAAAAAGGTTTTGTGTTAATTATAGATTTATGCTGTTTTGTATTCACATCTGGTGCTTTTGTTGCATTTTGAACAGGCAGAAATACTCAGCGTGTTGAGCCACAGAAATATCATTCAGTTTTATGGAGCTGTTATTGAACCCCCAAACTATGGCATAGTTACAGGTAAATTACAGATCCTCCTCCTTTTGTGATGTGTGGGTGATGTTTCTGAAATGCTGGATTTTTTTAGTAGTAGGCTATGTATTTGTGCTTCTGCTGATTTATGTCTTTTCCATTTCCAGATGTTTTTGAAGGTTCTATATTTAATTTAGGATATCAAGAATATAAACACACTTATGCCATATCCCCCCATATACAGTATACGTCTTTCTCTATTTTATACTACTAATAACATCACCATGATCCTGCCTCAGAACAGTTCTGGCTGCAATTATATTTCATACTTTGTGTCCTATGTCCTGTTCTACAACAGCTGGAAAATACTTCAGGAGCAGCAGGACAGACTGCTTGGGCACTATAGGCTTAATGGTTTATCCTTTCCTTCTAGTCTCTGAACATCAGTTTGGTCAATGCCATGGTTTGCCTCTCCATGCAGCATCTAAACAAAGGGAGGAGATTGAACTCAGTTTCCCTTTGTTAGTGTCAGTGCTTGTGATGAACAGTTCCTATGGCAGGTTAAAAAAAAAAAGATACTTATGTCAGGCAATAATTTGATTCAAAATTCTTATTGGAGATTACACTCTTCCCATGTTCCATTATAAATATGTGCTAAAAACCTGTGGAATTTTAAACTGTTATCTCTCAACTATTAATTGCCAGATAAGATTTTAACAGTTTAAAGCAAAACAGAGCCTGCCTATTTTGAATAAACAGAATAATTGCATTTCATGAGACATAAATTGCAGATAGTCCTTGACTTATGACCATTCCTTAATGACTGTTCAAAGTTATGACCGTCGCAGTGTCCCCGCAGTCACTTGATCAAAATTCGGGAGCTTGGCAACCAGCATGTATTTACAATGGTTGCACCGTCCCAGGGTCATGTGATTGCCATTTGCAACCTTCCCAGGGGGCTTCCGACAGGCAAAGTCAATGGAGGAAGCTGGATTTGCTTAACAACTGTGATTCACTTAATGACCATGGCAAAAAGGTCGTAAAATTGGATGCAACTCACTTAACTGTGTCACTTAGCAACAGACGTTGTAGTCCCAATTGTTGTCGTAAGTCAAGGACTAACTGTAGGTGGACTGACCATTTTTCCATTAAATATAAATAAAATTAATTTTACACTTTCACAGAGTTTCTCCTCAGGATATTTAAGCAATGCAAAGACACTTTTAAAAGTTTACTTATGTTGCATATATGTCTGTTTTATTTTATACAACCAAGACTTGCATGAACTCTTTACTGATTTTGGTTGAAGGCTATCTAAATTGAAGTAAGTGATACAAACAAGCCAAAATAAAGTGAACTTATCTGCAGAAATAGAAATAGTAATTTATATTAGGACAAGAGTGGAAATAGAGGATTACGGATGAGGGATACCTTACAGATTCATATATAACTTTTTTTAAAAAATAACCTGCCTTTCTTTTCAAGTTGAAGAATACGTTAATATAATTTGGAAAAAACGAATTCCTTTATTCCTGCATATATTATTTCATTGTAATATGTGGAGTGTTTTCTGTGAAACCAAAAAATGGCACATCTCAGGGATGATGGTATTTGCTTTAGTTAAATGGTACAGGCTTTTTTCCAAATGCACAGAGAGCAATATGTAGATTATGCTTATGTGTGTCTTCTATCGAGGTGAAGAAATCAAGATGGGAGAAAACAAGAGCGATATAAGAAACAGCAGTTTCATCATTATATTCTGCTGACACCTTACACTTCATTTCTAGAATATACTTTGCAGAGCAGACAAATTGGGGGCAAATCCTACAGGCTGGTTTCAATTGGCTGTGAGGCATATTTACAGAGTCAGAACTGATCTGCCGTAACCACATCTTTTTTTTCTTGGCATGCCTCTATAAAAATGTTGAGCTAATATTGCAAAGATTCTGGGACAAAATCTAAGCCTGTTAGAGATCTGGCCAAGTGAGCTATTTTCATGAACTGAAAACACACTTCTGTCTTACCTCTCCTGTCAACAGACTACAGACTAGAGTTGCAAACTGACCTGAGCCTGACAGGATCTGTCACCATTCCCATTGTGGGAACTGCTAGGAAACGAAGATGAAATGTCTCCCCCCACCATATATTTTAGCCTTTAAGAACCAGCTAGAAGCTCTGCTTTTGATTGAGCAATAATGCTGGTGGAGGCAAGAAGATTTAACTACTTCTTCTGCCATACACCACCCCTCCCCGCTCCTGATTCTGCTGGTCTCCTCTGATTAAAAAGCACCAGTGATTTGTATTGTTTGGTCCCAACAATGCAATACATAGATTCTATATAAGATTCTGATTCAGATCATGTGTCTCTGTGTATTGAGATAGGATATCAATATCAGTACATTTCACATATTTAAATGTGCTTTTTGTTGTATTCTAAATGCTTGCCTAGCTAGAGTTTCTTTTTTAAAGTGAGCGATGTCGCTTAAGAGCCAGTTTGGTATAGTGGTGAAGGCACCAGGCTGGTAAGCAGGAGACGGTGAGTTCTGGTCCCGCCTTGGGCATGAAGCCAGCTGGGGGACCTTGGGCCAGTCCCTCCTCTCTCTCAGCCCTGGGAAGCAGGCAAGGGCAAACCACTTTGAAAATCTTGCTAAGCTAGTCTATTCCAAGAGTCAAGACTGACTTGAAGGCTATCTATCTGTCTTGAAGAAACATAGTATTCCCAAGACCTCCCTCTTATTTGGATGAATTGAAGGATTTGCTGAGGTCAGTAAATTTAAAACAGGCATGCAAACAACAACTAGGCTAAGGATACCCCCCCACCCCACAAGTAATGGGTGAATTCTGGACAAGTGTAAATGAAATTAAATGTAGTTAAATTAAATGTAGTTCAGGGACATGTTTCATACCATCCTCCATCTGTCACATTGAAAATGATAGTTTTTGTCTTGTGTTAATTTGAATAAATTTTAGTTGTAATAGATTTAACTAATATACAGGCTAATACAAGATTTTTGTTGCTGATATCATTTTTTCTATTGTTTTTATTAAAAAGCTTTTTTTAATGCTACTCTTGAGTTTGTGTCTACACATGGAACAAAGAATGGCACATACATGCAGATGAGGATGATGTAATCTCTGGTTGTTGTTCCCAGAGTTATCAAGGGTAGGGTCTGTGTATATGATTAATGATTCATGCCATTCATCCATTAATGCATGCAGGACGAAACTATGGACAGCATAATTATGAGTCAGATTAGCTTCATCAGATGGATTTATTAATTTCTTTACATTTAATGGGATTGGTATTATTTTCTTGGTACTTACAGTATGACACAGAATGCTAGGATTATTTGCATTTTATAACCCATGAGAAATATGTATAGCTATCTTTATATCCATTTCATAATGTTAGGGGGAGATTATGTAGGCTATAATTCTTGCTGGCTAGTTCTTTTACTGTTTAATGAGGTATATGTATTAATTTGTGTATTTAATGTATATATTTAACTGATATATAATATATATGTTTATTTAAATATATTATTTTAAAACATTTTATATCGGTCTCATCAGAAAAAAAATTCTCAATATTATTTTGTGTTTATGTTTCATTCTTGTATTTATCATCTCCTTTATATTAAAATAATTTGCCTAATCTTTGAGAACCAGCATGGTGTAGTGGTTAAGGTGCTGGACTAGGAGTGGGTAGACCCAGGTTCTAGTCTTCCCTTAGGCATGGAAGCCGGCTGGGTGGTTTTGGGCCAGTCACCCTCTCTCAGGCAAGACTGGGAAGTAAAAAGAAAAAACAACCCAGAAGGTGTTAATGGCAAATCACTTCTGGCAGTGACCAGCGAAACTGCATGGACTTGTCCATGAAGCCGTCAGGACTCAAAAACCCAAATGATCCCCACAACCTTTTATTCATAAATCATCCTGTCCTGCCTTAAAGTTAATGTATTTGGACTGTCTATGATATGTTGTTCAGTCTAATTGTTATTGCAACGTTGTAGGTAACATTAGTTGCACTAATTTTGAAATCAAAGATTGCTCATTATCATGCATCCATCTGTCATTAAATGTACCCATTGAAACATATGTTTGCTATTTTGTAACAGAATATGCTTCTGCTGGGTCATTGTATGACTATATTAATAGCAACAGAAGTGAAGAGATGGATATGGATCATATAATGACCTGGGCAATGGACATAGCTAAAGGTAAGTGAGATTCATTGACAGCAGCAGTGGCAATAATTCACAAAAGATTAGAACTCTATGCTAATTCCATTTCCTATTCAGCTCGGGTCAATTCTTAATCATTAATCTGAATTACTCATAGTGCCTAAAGATGGTACCTTAATTATCTGTCCTATGAAATCTTCCAAAACTTCCAAAACTCTTTGATTCACTAAATAATTGTCATGAACTTTCTTCAAGAATATAACTTTAGAGAGAATCTGGGAATATTTGGCATCTGTAGTAGTTTATTTTGTAGGAAAAAGGATCAGTGAGAACATACCTCCTTTATTGTTTTAAAACTCAGTATCAAAATTACGCAGATAGAAAGTACATGAAATGTGGGCAGATTTTCTGTTTTGTTTTGGGGTAAGAATTGAACATACAAGGGATATCCAGGTGGAAAAGGATTCCCTGATATTTTGATACTGGTTTACAAATAGTTGCTTAGAGTTTAGATGGGGATGATGTCATACAAAAGGGATTAGATTCCTTTCCCATCCACACACATTTTTCTAACATCTGTTGCCCTGAAGCTGCTTTTTTGTACGTATATTTGTATGTCTGTACCTGTATGATTTTCCCCAGTCGCTACATTCTTACATTCAGTGATCTCTTAACAACAGCCTTCCTCAGTATCATGCCTTCCAGAATTCCCATGTCAGCACAGAGAAACCACAGAGGAACATGAGTATGCATATGGACTTGCTTAAGAAGACCTAGGGTAGAAATTTTGTGTGAGCAAGGAAGTATATATTGAGTTTGGGGATTTAAGAAGAAATAATTTGTATCTGTCCTAGTGAGAATGCATTTCAAGTTGGTGCTAGTTATTTTTAATGAGTTTATGGGATCTCGTGGAAACCTAAACCAGCACTTGAACTCCTTAGTCCAAAGGACTTGATTTTTTAGAAGCTTTATGTGTTACTGGAGTATATTTCAATTGTGTACATGTACTGTATCTTAAGAAATGCCTTATATATTAAAGACAAGTGAGTATTTTGAATCCCACTGACAGACACAAGAAATATTTAAACTGATGAACAACTTATATATCTTGTATATCAAGAAACATTATCATATTTCCAGTCAAAGCATATGAAATACAAATAACAATTCATCTAAAGTATTCCATACTTAGATTCAGATTAGTCAATAGGTCTTAATTCCAAATGCACAGCATTGATAATCTTTCTCCCAATTTCAGAAAAGTTATCATTTTCCCATGCCAAGTTCTGCCTGTGTTTTCAAAACCTATAGATTTTTTCATGAAGACAAAGAAGTAAATAATCTTCCAGTGATTCCCTTTTTATAATTTGCATTGAGTTTATACATTAAGTATAAGCTGGTTAACCTTTGTGAGACTTGTGGTATGTAGATGAGGATGATAATGATGATGATCTGTTTGACTTGGATACTGCCCAACTTAGCACAACACAGAATAAAAACGAACAACAGGATACAATCCAAGTAAAAAACAATGAACAGAATGGCAGATGCAGCCAACAGCAACCTGCATACAGCCTACAAGAGGCTCCAATTACCCTGGCCTAAAGTCTGGGAGGCTAGTCAGGTCTTTAAGGCCCTCCAGAATGCCATCAGTGTGGGAGCCACCCAGATCTCAGGGGGATCCTCATTCCAGAGGGCAGAGGAATATTTCTCAAGGGCAGATTGTCCTCACTGGAGAGGAAAATAGTCATTGTATGAGTCATTATGCTTACTACCTAATTGAAAACTACACACACACACACACACACACACACACACACAAATAAATGATATGCCTAGGAAGTAATAACAAAGTTTAACAACATTTCTAATCATGTGCATGCAGATGCAGAAACTGCAGCACACAACTAGAAATTATCTGATGTGAGAAGGCAGCCTTGTGTAATGACTGGGCAAATGAAGTGCTCAGTCATTAACAAAAAGATGTTGGTATGGATGCAAAGCATATGCTTATAACCACAGATATCAACCAATTGCACCTAATGTTTGCTGAACCCATCTTATTTGTTTTGTGAACAAGCTACTGCTGGTCCTGACATAGCAAAATAGTTTTATAAAACCTTTTTCGTTTTTACTTTTAGGAATGCATTATTTGCATATGGAGGCTCCGGTCAAAGTAATCCATAGAGATTTGAAATCCCGGAATGGTAATTCAGCATAAATTTACATTTTGGGGGGGAGGGGTTATTTTCCTGCAAACATGACATTTTAGGGTTGATACTGAAAAGAGCTGAATTCAGTGCACAATCCACTTTGATAGATGTAATATGGATATATAAATGTGCTGTACAGGATTTTAAAAAATATATCCTGCCTGCAATATCAAGGGCTGTGTGCATGGTACTACAGGACCTGCTGGATCAAATCAGTATGCATTGGATATTACTGATGGAGAGATGAATCCAATCTTTTATTTTCTGCATTCTCAAAATGCATTGTCTTAGCAGTTCTCTCCCTCCCTCCCTCTCTCTCTCTCTTTTTTACTTTAAAATGTCCTACGCGGTTTAGGTTACTCCAATTGCTTCTGATTAAATTCAGCTCTTCCTCTTGTAACCCTGGGATTAGAGATGGGATTAGAAGGCTCCGATAAAAAGGACACCTTCCCTCATTTACCCTCCCCTCTTGGAAAAATAAAAAAGAATTATGAAATATTTTCTAATAGTTTTACTTTTTAAGTGATGCCTAAAATGGTTAATAGTGAAAGAAATTGGTCTAAATTTGGAAGTGTACAGAATTAAAAAATAAACTAAGTTGTGAAAGAATAGAAAAGCTGGTCCAGGACAGCAAACCTTTGGTTTTCAAAGTCCATGAAAAGAAATAAAATGATAAAAATGTAAAATCAGATCTGTAGAAGCTGCTGATATTGAAAGTATTGTAAATGCAAAAAATGAGAGTTATCAGGCAACATTACATGTGGCAAAGTAAATATTCTGAGCCATGTTTATTCCTCCTTTTCCTCAGTAGTTCTTCTCAAAAAGGTAATGCTTTCAATATCTGTTTGATGTGGTGGTAGGTAGAGTTCAGAATACATTTTGGAATGTTTCTTCTCTTTCCAGAGTCATGTTTGGCCTACCTGCTTCATCTAAGTAGGAAAAAAATGATGAGATGCACTAGTCCTTGGCATTGGCCATTTTTAGCTCCATTTTCAAGAAACATTTAAAATGTTTTGAAGCAAAATTCAATCAAATTCACAATTATTGCCTGGAGAAACTATGTTTTTGTTAGTATACATCAAACATACTTCTATTAAGAAATCAGAAATAAAGTTAAAATATAACTTCATTATCGGTTAAATGTGCTAAAAATAACTATTCCGTAAGTTTCAGTTTTTCCTCAACTTTGTATTTTCCCATTTTTTTTCTTTGGTTTCAAAAGTTCTGGAAATTTTACAGTTGTCTGTGATAGTCTGTCTGCATATTTTAAAGATATATGTAACTGCCTTATAAAGCATGGCAATTTTAGTTTTAAACTATTTCCCAGTAATTGTTAATACTGCATTTTTCAGCTCCATTGCTGTAACTCATTAAGTTGACATTATTGGTGATCTATCTGCCATGATCCTGCATAGAGAGAATTAAGTCAATAATAAAGCCATTTGATTTCAGATTAATGTCAGTCAGAGAAATGTTAACTGGGCTTGCCAGTATATATAAGCCTATCATATATGGAATGATTTTTTTTTTTTTTTTTAAGAAATGCATATAGTTTGTTCATAGCATTGATGTAATTTTCTCTTTTTCAAAAAATTTCAGTGGTTATAGCTGGTGATGGAGTATTGAAGGTAGGAATATTTCAGTCTTTTTATAAAAAATATGTGTTGTGCCGAACTGGGCCTACTGTTTTTCTTAAAACAAAAACATTTTTGCTCTACTTCATTCTAGATTTGTGACTTTGGGGCTTCAAGGTTTCACTCCCATACAACACACATGTCTCTTGTTGGTACTTTTCCATGGATGGCTCCGGAGGTTATCCAGAGTCTCCCAGTATCAGAAACATGTGACACATATTCGTATGGTGTGGTGAGTATACATATTTCTGTCCAGGCTTCTGAACGCATTAGATAAATCTGTCTTTAGACAACTGGATATAATTCATGCTCATGTTCCATGCACACGTGAAGGCACAAAAACCAAATGGTATTTAGGAGGCACTCATTCTGCCTTGTATATCTCCCACCCCCCCACCCACCCACCTACAGTTCTATGGATTTCATAGCGCTCTAATTTTGTGATACAATTTTTGGCGCAGAAAAAGCTATGGCCCATACCTGTGCTAATAGGCTGGGGGAGATGGGTGGCATACAAATTTAATAAATAAATAAAATAAAAAATAGTCAGCAAACATCTGGAGAGCATCCGATTACCTGTTCCTTCCAAGGTCCACACTTCTGCCATAGAAGTCAAACCCGAGATTGGATTTTTTTAAAATTCTTCACACTTGCTCATGAAATTTTAATTAATTAATTAATTAAAAATCAATCTAAAGACAGTTAGAAATTGCTTAAACCTTACTGATTTCAAGGAGAACTAATTATTGCCTGCTTACAGCCAAACCTGTAAATATCCATTCAGAATAAAGCTAAAGGAAGTTCAGTGGGGCTGATTGTCAGATAAGCTATCTAGAATTGCAGCTTGGATCTAGCTCATAATTTTTAGAAAAAGTTTACTTCCCTTGAAGGAAGCAGTTCAGGAAATGGCTTCTGGATAAAATGTCGATCACTGGTTTACTTTAAGTAGGTTGAGTAATACTTATGTGTTTCAGAGAGAGAGAGTTTCAAAGCCTGCAATATCTTTTTTTTCTTTTTTCCCTGACTTGGTATTCTGCATCTTAAATAGTGAAAAGAACTGGAAACATTCATGGAGAGAATGAAATTCAGAAATAATTGCAGACTGGCTCAGAACTAAATGTCGATAGATAAATAATAATCTAATCCAGTCATTCCCTTGCTTCTGTCAATGGGGCAGGGAAGAGCGAATTCCCAGTCCTCTGGGCAATCTCAGAATCTGTTTCTTCTAAAGCAGAGTTTTTGGAAAGGGAAGAAAGTTCCAGAGGGAATTTAGGAGGAGAAAGCCCTGTCACAAAAGTAGGTTTTTACTTCTGCCCATTTTAAATTCTACTCTAGAAATCTGTTCAAGTAAGCTTAAGTGCATCTGTATTGATTCTCTTAACTGTTGATTTCTATCAAGATTTCTTTTCTGTAGGTTTTCAACTTCTAATCAAACAGGCTAACAATGTGCTCCAGAGATAAAGAATCCATGGGAAATGTGGCAATTTTTGATTTAAAACAATCTCATCCATAAATAAAAGTTTTGAATGGTCAGCTAACACAATCTAGGGCACTAACAAATGGCTTTTGTGCTGCACAGACATCTGCTTTTCATCATTTGAAGCACAGCTGAAATTCTGATAACAAAGAGCAGAATCCTTTTCAAATGTAAACTACTAAGATGTTGAGAAATACTATTCTGTTGGCAGAATCCGTGGCGTTTCTTTTATTTATTATTTTCTCTGAGTTTTTCCCTGCCAGAATGGATTGTATTCATTAAACTATTACATTGCTTCCAATGCAAAAGGAAGCATTTTCCCACCCCAGTATGCTGTCCGCCCAAAGGTCCAGAGTTTTCTTGGTCAAGCTGAACTTGTCTTTTCTGAATAAGTCACAAGAACATGGGGAAAGATGATAGACGTACCCATTTATAACTTTCTGAGCTTTACAAATTATTTCATGGAGCTGGAACAGAGGGTCTCAAGTTCCATCTCTTGTTATTTGGAAGTACGTCTCAAATAGTCTCCTGAAATAAATCCTGTTTTAAAAAGTAAACATGTCTTTAGTCAGAATCTTCTATTTTGTTATATGAAAATGACCCACTATAGCAAAGCTGAGTTTAGATTTAAGATTTATAATCGTTCCCGTTATAAATATTTGTTGCCAAAGAAGAGATAATGTTTAACAACATCTAACATATTGTTCTATTGTCCCTAGACATGGAGCGTTATAGTGGGAGGAAAATAACATGGTTCTGTGCCTGATGTGAAAGTTATTCAGTTCAGATATAAGCCCAGTATAAAATTTCCACCAGCACATGTGTGCTGCAGAGTCCACTAGAGTTGGGCAACCAATAAATTCAAATAAATAAATAAAATATATGTATGTGTTTAATATAGCAGGCTTATAATAAATTCCGGCTTGGAAATGACAATCAACTGAAAATGCCTCATGGCGCTGAGTAATAATGTACATACGTCACCTTGGGTATGATGAAAACCTCTTTAGATCGGTGCACGTCTTTTAAACCCAGGTGTTGTTTAGTTGTGCAAAGTGCTGATATTTCTTAGTGAGTTATAGTCAGCAGCTGTGATTGAGGGTGACCGTAAGGTTGCTCCACACTGTTTGGGAAACTCCAGCTGTGCTGACCGGTAATTCTGAGAAACATACGCTTGTGAAGCTGATTTTTTGCCACCAATTTCTGTGCTTTTTCAGCTTATTTCTGGCATAATAACAAAAAATATATACAGCTGCTTACTCTGAGTCATATTTCTGGGCTCTAATTGGTTCCAATCACTTTGTAACTCATCATAGATTTTTTTAATGACTTTTTACTGTGGCTGAATTTGAAGCACAGTATGTAACTGTGTAGTGTAGTGAAGTGCAGCTACATACCTGGAGTTTTTTTTTATTTGCATCATCATAGCTGTCCCTTTGAGAAATGATGTAATGGTCATAATACAATTGCATTTCCATATTACTATGTGCTTAATTGTAAAACTGCTCCCTCCATCCCATAACAACAAAATAGGCAGCCTTGAGTTAGTTGTACAAAATAAAGATGAGACATATATCTAATAAACCTAATAAATAAATAATAGCTACATGTAAACCCACTTGGTCAGTCTGGACTTTTTGGGGGGCACTTGGCAGAAGAAAAAGGATAAAGCTGAGATGAAGAGGCAAGGTCCTTCCTGGGCCTGGCCAGATACTCACCAAAAAAAAAAAAAAAAGTATTTTTCTGTTTCTTTTTACTGCATACAGCAATACATATAACTGGGATAGTTCCCATCTCCATTAATATGTCCTTAGCCTAATGGTTTTTAAGTAATACACTTTTATAGTTTTATAACTTAATCAGGTTTATTTAACCCCTAGGATGATGTCGCACCTCCTTTGATAGAAAACCCGGCTCAATATCAAGGGTTTTTTCTCCACATCTTGATGGGTAACATCTGGCAATAGGTTACTAATTACCTTTTTAAAAAAAGTAGCTGGCCCAGTTAAACCCAAATGTGAACCACAAGATAAGAATTGTAAATACTTAATAGAGCATATTGATCTCTGGAATACCTAACCAGGTCATTACTCTCTTAGAAAATATCAATAGGAGTTTTATTTTATTTTAGCTAAATGATGTATGTTCCAACTCAGATCAACAGAAATATGTCTGCCTTGTGAAATCTAAAGAGAGGCAGGTACTCTTGTAAATATGACTGCTTAGCCAAAATCCAGAACTTAGTCTGGAAAAAGAGATCATTGCTCTCTTTGACATAGTCAGTTACATTTTCCTTTGTTATAATGGTGGAATATCATGTAAATAAAATTAGCTGAAGTCATACCATACTGTAAAGTAAATTGATTTGCCTTTTATTTGGCTAAATATGAAATATAATTAAGTATAAAAATATTACCATAATGTTGGGATTAACACTGAAATATTTGAAAGGTGGAAGCCATTTTTGTTGCTTACAAATCAGTTCTGCTGCAGTAACTATTTTTTAGATTTTAGACTTAACTCTGGAAAGAACAAACCTAAAATGGATAGAGATTGTCTACTAAGAAAGAGCTTAGGTACAAGACAGTAGGTTGCAGAAACTTTTTCTACTATGGTTTGAAGACAAGAAATCTATTTGTTGGCTACCTCAACCATCAAACAGTGGAGGTACAAAGGGAGATTCACAAAACCTGGTCCCCAGCTCTCTCTCAGTAATTGTTAAATAAGGGTTTATTATTAAAGATAAGAAATATTCAACACTGATTTAGTATAACTATCTTAAGCACAAACATATATCCAGGTTTTTGCAGATGGGTTTTGATTGCCTGGTAATTGGATAGAGATCACACTGCATCAAGGTTTAATAATATATTTAAAATACCAAGTACAGAAATAAAACCCCTTTTTCTTTTTCTTTTCCATTCCAGGTTCTCTGGGAGATGCTAACAAGGGAGGTCCCCTTTAAAGGCTTGGAAGGATTACAAGTAGCTTGGCTTGTAGTAGAAAAAAATGAGGTAAGACTACGTTTCTACATTCAGGTACATAGATCAGAAAACAGTATTGGGTTTTGCAAAAGACTTTTTCATCTTCCTCAAATTGAAAGTAAGTCCACGCGTATGGAAAGATTAGCAGTAGGAGCTAACACAAAGGGTCAAAGTGATGTTATTCCTCATGAATGGACCCTTTACATCTAATTGTTGCAGCTTCACGTCGTGATGCTGTAGATCAAAAATTATACAAGTACTGTACTAGCTTCTCAGTCTCAATTGTAAAACCTGGGGGTTTGTTCTTAGGGATGAAAGAAGCCGTTGCGTCCAAGGTAGGAGAACAGTTTAACTCCATCTCCTGCATTTAGGACATCTTTATACTGGCCGGGAGTTGATCTATCTGTAAGAGACCTTCAGCTACTTCAACTTAACTCTCCCAGCAGGAGTCACTATAATACAAGAAACTGCCACTTAGATGAGGATTTCAAAAATAAAAGAAGATAAAAATAGTTTAAAAAAGAAGAAAATTACAGTTTTGCCACCCACGTTCCTCAGTCCATTGAAGATGAGCTCCTCACTGGAACTGGTAAGGCTAAGCCGTAGTTGCAGGCCTCCTCATGCCGTGTCTTTCCATTTCAAAAGGACTTCAGTGGCGTAAACACCCTTTGTACACGTCCCCAGCGTTGCTTTTCTTCTGGCTACAAATTGAGGCTTTTAGATAGTTGAACATGTGAGGGCATATTTCAACACATGGTCTCTTTAGTATCAAAGACAGGAAGTGTCGTTTTAAAGAAGAAATGTAGTGTAGCGGCTTTATTGCATGCAGGCAACATTTGGGATTCCTCCTCTATCTAGGTTGGCTAGAAGGCCGGGTACCGTTATAAAATAACCTAGGCAATTTCTTCAGTATGACGACTTGATTTTTTTGTTTTATTGCTGGCTTCCTAAAATATTTGGGAAGACTTTATGTATAATAAATTTAATTATCATTTTAAAAAAACAGGAAAGAATTAATGCAAAACATGGCATTCTTGCTTTTAAATGTTCTTTTTGAAGTATAGAAGGCCTGTGATCTCTGTGAATCAATGTGGAATAACCAATTTAGTTGGGATGGTTTCTGTCACTCACTATAAACTTATACCTGTAATTCTTACAAATTTAATCTTGAAATAATAAGATGTAGTGAGTATCATTCTTATTTTTTAAGCAGAAGGAAAATTTGTTTGAGTTCATCAAAATAGCCTCACCCCATTCTATAGATAAGGCATTAAGCAAGAAACTTCCCTATCTAGATCAATGCTCTGATCTTATAGTTGGATACGAGATCTGGGAATAGAATGAATGTATAATAATATGCTAGTTCTGCCACTTCATGTTAGTTTACGTAAACTGGGTATGATCCAACCCAAATTGAGCATATGAGTAATCTCTTCAATTCTAGCACTTTCCTCTTTGCCTTTGAAATGAATGGAATTTAGAATTCTTTAACTTTATTGGATTGCATAATAGTGAAATGAATTTTAAGGAGAATTAAAGCTTTACCAGTCATGGGTTTGGAAATGCTTGTCAAAATTTGAAAAAGTCAAGGGCATTAAGAGGGGCAGTAGTGGCCAGGATTGTATTGTCCATGGTTTCAATAGTATTCTACTATTCACTACTATACAGTGAATATGGAAATAGTATCCGTAGCAAAAAGTTACCATACTGGTGTTTGTTTTTTTAAACAAACTTGATTGCAGTTTTTTTCTTGTTATAAAAGACTGAAATGTCTATATGTTCTTTGTAACATTAAAACGGTCCTAATAAAGTGGTTGAATGTCTGAGGCTCCCAGTGAATTGTCATTCTGCAAAGTGTGTGTTGAATTCAAAGTTAGTCATGCTTTAGTCCCATTGAAATCAATGGGACCTATATTTACCTATAATTAACTTGTCCCACTGATTTTAATGGGCCTAAAACATGACTTAGTCTGAATCCACCACCTTATAATTATTGCACTGAGTTTACACTGTAAGGAAAGAACAGTGAATCTCACATTTAGTCCTAGGGAGAATTCTATTCTTTTGAAATTTAGAGAAGATGTAACCCACAAGACAGATAAAGACAGTGGAAGTCCACCCTTATTCCAAAAAGATGGCAGAAGAATTTGCATCCCCCTCTTCCAGAAAGATATGTAGGACTATCTATATTTTATTCTCTCAAAAACTTATTTGGGGTCTTCAGGTGAAATTCATAGTCAGAGGTTTGAACAAAGGGTTTGGGTTCAGTGCTGTGTCCATTCAAATTATACTAGCTTTTAAATGAGTGATCATGATAGACTCTAGGTTTGTAGGTGTTGCTCATATATAAGTCACACTGTACTCAGTAGGAGTTATTCCTCAGTAGAGAATTGCATCTCTTCTATCATGCCCACCCCTTTTATTATTGTTTCCTTGGTAATCTGCTTGTTTTATACTACAGGTGTAAATTCTGTTAAAGAAGACTTTATTTAATATCAAATAAAATTAATATCACATTACTAAGAAATGTCACTTTTATTAGATTATGACTGTCTTGAGGATCTACCCGATGAATAACATTCTATTCAAGTAAGATATATATGTAAGTTATGAGTTTAGTAACTCATTTTCCATCCCTGGAACTGTGAGGGTTGAGAGACACATACCATGGCTAGATTGTCAGGTGTATTTTTAGGGAAATGACTTACTTGAATATCAAGTGTCAATGCTACTTTGTTTTTGCCAAAAGATTTCTTGAATAGACTTCTGATATAGACGTTTTTCACATTTATAATATTCATGATTTTAATGGTTACATATCAGATTATATGCTTATTGTGTACATTTCCTCTTTAACATTTTCCCTTTTCTTAGCATATCTTCTTGTCTTTTTTTAAAAAAAAATACCTCTTTTGGTGCACAACAGCTATAAGGTTTTGCAAGTCCCATTAATCTGATATAGTGATATATTTTATTTAGCTTACTTCATACACCTCTTGAAAAAGTGTCATTTTAACCACTAAGCAGAGTTGTGAGAAACTCAGATATAACTGCTTTTTTATAATTATATCCTTCTGTTAATCACAGAATTAGCCATAAATTTTCCTGCTGTGTTATATATAAGGATATTAACAGTTATCTTTTTCTATCAGCAACAATGATACCATTATTCTTTTTATTGTAGCATTTCCTTTAATCTACTATCAATAGTATAGTAACTATGCAAACATCCTAGTTATTAGAAAATTTTAATTAACACACTAATATATTCTTGTTAAGGTTTAGTTTTAAATAAGAAGTTGTATTCTGTCCTTACTCCAATAGAGATTGAGTAAGTAGATAAGTATTATTCAATATTTTAGATTTTAATGTTTACTTTTAATAGAATGTCTAACAGCTTCAATATATTAAAAGTCTGAACATTCTTGAAGTATGGAATGATAAAATATGTTACTTAGGAATGGATATTTTTTGCGGTAGGCTGGATAGGATAGGATCCTGTTAGGGGTTTGGGGGTTTTTGATTTCAGGAGGATTGAGAAAAAAGGGGAAACTATTTTAATCAAAGATGCTAACAGAACACATACAAGGAATATAAGTATCATGACCAATGACAGATTTATTGTACTTTTGGGGTGTATTTCTGGAATCCAAGAATATTCTTCCATTAATAAACAGATTCTGTTATTTTGTAAGTCTTGCCTCACCTTACACCCTGTGGGCCAGCATAAACTGGAATTCTATTACATTTATTCATCATTATATGCTAGACTTCTTTCTGGTTAACTTGACATGATAATTACTGTACATATTTAAATTTGATTATTTTAAGTAGGATGTAGATCACAAGATCTCTTAACATTATTTAACACTTTAAATAACTAATAGGGCTATGCATGCTTTGAAAATGATTCAGAGAAGCGCTTCAGAACTTGCAGGAGCAGGGCATCTCAGTGTTCTTCCTTAAAGCAGCCTGTTGTTTTCAGTCTAATGTGGAAAGCTGAAGAAAGATGCTGCTACTTTAAGGAGCTGACTCATCCTACTCTTAAAGCACCTGCATCTTTTTTTCAGGCTTGTGTGGAAGCATGAAAAACAGGCTACTTTTTTTTGAATAGCAGAGAGATGCTCTGGTCTTGCATAGTCCAAAGCACCCCATCGGATTCATTTTCAAAGCAAACCTTTAATATGGAAATATTACTGGTGTAGAAAAAAACCAAAGAAGAAATATGTAGAAGTATTTAATGTGCTCCAACAAAAGAAGGATGGATTTAACGTGAATCAAAAGTAAACAAGAATGTTTCAGGAATGGCTCAGGAATTTAGATTTTTAAAACCGTGGGAAAATACATACACATAGTTCATGCTGCTATAGAAAGTTATACTGTGGGTATGAAAGCATGAGAAATGTAATGTAATGCAATTTTAAAAAGGTTTGTAGACATTACAGGGATATAGTTCTAAAGCCTTTTCCCGCCAAAAGGTTATATAGTGTATTTTCTCCAGAATGGTAATAGATCTAGGAAGGATTC